TCTCTTATTTTATTTTAAACAGGCTAACAGGCTAAATCAAACTTTTATTTTTTGTAAATAGGACAGGCCACAGGCTGAAATTATATTCATAACAGGTAACAGGCATGGTCAGGCTGACACATTTAAACACAGGCTTAGCCTTTTAAGACCAAAGCTCGGCTCGACCCGTTAACACCCCTACTAGCTAGCACGTCACTAACAGAGTTGTATTTTTTAAACATTAATTATAATAGTCAAATTTCTTTAATGATTTAGCAATATTTTTCATTGTTGTGCTATAATGCACGGACACTGATACAGGATACGCCGACACGTTAATTCTAAAAAATGGCATATTTCGACACGTTGAGACATGTAAGAACTTGCACCGTTAATTAAGGAAGTTAATTAATTAATTACGTGCAATTAGAAAATAATTTCATAATTGACCCTAATATTTATTATGAGGCTTAAATAATTATTGAAAGTGAGTAATAATGTCTATAGTCGCTTTTCGGACGAAAAGTGCAGATACCGATTCTGCTACTCGGTATAAATGCGTACCGATGAAGTATCCCTGAAAATTATAATAAGTGCATAAATACTCCTAAAATAATATGTAGGACTGTGATTTCAAGTTTCAAGTTAAAATAATGAGAACTGAAGCCAGAACTGATACTGGCTATGGAAAAGTGCGTACCGGAAAGGTACTGCGAAAAATATAATAAAAATATGACAAATCTTGTAAAATTGAGTATGTTCAGAATCCTAAGTTTGAGATTAAAATGCGAAGTGTAGCAATTAACGATAATACTGTGTGTTTAAGTGTTAAATCGCTATAAATAGGCATACTTGGCCCAAAACCCTAGGCCATACATTCAGAATACGTGACTTGGAGGCTGGCCAGTTTTTCCTTACTCTTTTCCATGGCTTCACCCATTTTGTGAGCCTCGTGACCCCATTCTTCCATTTCTCTTCACTTTCTCCTTGTAAACACTTGAATGAGTGCCTTGTGAGGGTGAAGCTCAGCTTTTGCTGAGTTGAGGGTTCTGTTTGGGAAGAGTTGAGGGATGACTTGTTGGTTTGGGTGTTGTGGAGTCTTTATTTTTGGCTTGTGTTGCTTCAAGGAGCCACCTTTGGTGAGAAATGACCTTCTTGTGTGGTCATTTTCGTTTCTCTACGAAGTCAGAACTGTGGGGACTTGTTGGTGAGCTCAAGAGCAACCTTTTCTGAGTTTTGGTGCTTGGGGTAAGTGTTGAACCTTGATCTTGAGTTCTTATGGTTAAAAGAGGTGTCTTGGCATGGTTAATGAGTTAATCAAGTAACCAACTGATATATGAACCTAGAACAGAGTAAAAATGCATGCTTTAACGTTTTAATGGGTTAAAAGATGAACCTTTGAAGTGATATCTCGCGAAATGCAGAAATCGCATTCTGTCGCGAAATATCCGGATATTGATATCCGGATATGGGGATCTGAATATCCGGATATGGGGATCCGAATATCCGGATATGCCCCCGACAAATATCCGGATATTCTTGGTTTTCGAGGAACAGTAGCTTACTGTTCATACAGAACTGATCTATGGGTTTGTGGACCCTAGTTTGAGGAAGTTAAACTTCTGTAATAATTAACTAAGCCAGAATCTAAGTGATTAAGGGCTTGTGGCTTTGTGAGAAGCCTAAAGACATGAAACGTAAAGGAAAGGCATTGTCTTTATATTGTATGCTTGTAGAGTATGATTATTGATATATTATTGGTCCATAAGAGATTGTGATTCTGTTGTGTTTGGACTTTGAGCTTGTGCGGACTCTTGGATTGGATAGTTAGCTTAAGAGGTAAGCTTTCGTGTCCTCAGTTTAGCCATTGTTTGTTCCACCATGTCCCATGGGGGTATGGTTATATCCATGCTGTGTTACATGCTTTGATATTTAAAATGCTTTTGAGATGTTAAGTGCAAATGCTTATGATATGTATGTGGTGTTCACCTGATGAGATGTGATCCTAAGGGTAGGTACGGCAGGGCGCGTACTGTGTGGGTAATAGACGTATTCCTGTATTTGTCTTGCCAGTAGATTATAACATTGACACACATGACATGATTATCTGCTATTTTGCACTGTTTTGGAAATGATGTTGATAAACTGCTTTTGAACTTTTATTGCACATGTAAGTGAGCTTGGGGTGGAAGATCTGTGAGGACCCCTTGTCTTACTGAGATTTCTTGTTTAGAGATCTCGCCCCACGTTTGGCGACGCTTATTTCAGGTTCAGGTAATTTGGGGGCTGATGCCTCTGGCGGCATGAGGCCGGAGCTTAGTTGATGATTATTGATGTTTATAAGCTGACATGTTTGGATGCTGGATATATCTGCTGATGTTATGTTTTTAGCTGGCTTTATTATTATGTTGCTGTTGTTGAGACTATGTTGGACTTGTTGCCTTATTTGGGTGAGCATGGGATTTTTCCATGCCGCTTTGATGTTAGTACTTTTAGTTGAGTTGTATAAACTATCAGGGTTGTCCGGTCTACGTGTTGTAGTTCCGTGACTAGAAACTTATATATGTTATTTAATTAATGAGGTATTTCAGTTAGCTGTCTTTTGCAATTTACATACAGGCAATGTTTTGAAAATGATTAAGTAATCAAGTTGGTAATGATTAATGGCATTATAATTGAAAAGAAAAAGATATTCCACATTTTTAATTAAGCATAGCTTAATACGATGATACGATAACATTACCGGATATATACGGGGTGTTACAGGACACGTTTTGATATTAAATAATATTTTTAATATATATAATATAATTTATATGTAATACATATAACAGTCCATAATAAGTCATATAACTAATCAAATATTCAAATTTTATAACATAAATATAAACAAAATATAATGTCCGAGCATTGGTCACGTGTCGGAAAAACGTGTCAGAAAGTTGACCACGTGTCCCAAAATGTCGACCACATGTCGAACGCGTGTCGGAGCGTGTCCGACACGCTCTTTTTCTAAAATATTGCGTGTCCGGGTATTGGAGTTGTTGTGGATAAAAAAAAATTCTTAAAAGGATTTGAAAAGAAATTATAGCAATTCTTAGGTTAAAAGATTTTGTTAACAAGAATCCTAAATTTATTGTTTAATACACATTTCATAACTTTCATTAATATAATCCTAATTAACAAAAATTGCTAAAGAGTATCATAAAGTTATTAATAAAAAATAAAAAATAAAAAATCTAATACATTGAAATTTAAGAGTTTTACTTTTCATTGATATTTGTTATTTTTTATTCTTCAACCTGTATCTTTAAGAGGTAATTACTATCAAAATCTTTTTTTGTGTGTAGAATACAGAAAAAAAAAAAATAGACTAAGACACCTAGAACCCGTTTGCATTGGCTTATAAAAAAAGTCTTTTTGTGGCTTTTTTATTTTAAAAGTATTTTCAATAAAAGTTATAGTTATTTAGATTTTTTAAAAAATATTTAGTTTTTGAAAAAAATATTTAACTTTTGACTTATGGATTTTTTAGAAGTTAAACTTTTAGCTTTCGAAAAAAATAAATTTTTGACTTTTTTTATGACTTCTAATCTTTTTTAAAATCATGCATCTAAATAGACTTTTTTCAAAAAATATATTTTTTTTCTTAAAAAAAATAATTTTTGAAAGAAAAAAAAAACTTATCCAAACGGACTCTCCGAGTCATCCTAAGAACAGCAACTCCAGACAGATCCCTATAGATCAGCTGCAAACCTCCCATGCACGGACACGCTTTTTCTTTGGAAATTTACGTGTCGGACACGTGTCCGACACGGACACGCTCCGACACGCTCGGACACGCGGTCAACATTTGAGGACACGTGATCAACTCTCCGACACGTTCCGACACGCGGTCAATAATTGGGAACACGCTCGGACACATTTTATTTATTTATTTATTTATTTGTTTTTTTATTTTTTTTAAATCTTAATTTTTTTTGTTAACTAAATATAAAAGAAATAATTCATAAATTAATTTTTTTCTGTTATAAAATTTGACATTAAAAATTAATAAACTAATAAAAATTATTTATATTTATATTTATGTAATAAAATTTAAATATTTAATTGGTTATATAACTTATTATGGATTCTTATATGTATTAAATATAAATCATATTATATATATTAAAATTTTTATTTAATATTAAAACGTGTCCCAACGTGTTCAAATATGACATTTTTTAGAATTAACGTGTCGGCGTGTCGTGTCGTGTCATATCCCGTGTCCCGTGTCCGTGTCCATGCATCATAGCTGCAAACAACCCGAAGGAGGGTTTTCAAAATAGTGGGTGTCTAGGTCCTGCAGACTAGCCAACCAATCAGCAACAGAAGGTAGAATTACCTTCTCTGTGGATACGAAAAGTCTTAACCACCCAAAATCCGGTTCAGAAGTCTTTGAATTCTTCTGATCAAAGCAGGCAGAGGATGATGTGTGGCACACCCGGCCAATTACTATCAAAATCTTGTTGCGTGCATGACCTCAATTTATTAATTACTCTTACCTGTCATGCTTATCTTAATTCTTTAGGAAATTCTTTCATTGGATATCATCAAATACGTGAATCAATTCACAGGAAATTGTTTTAACTTAATTAGTGATTTTAAACTCAAATCCTAAAAATGCAGTTAGGTTAAAACTTGATAGATTATATTCGGCTCGGAATTAATCGGTACCCTTGGGACCTAATACCTATTCAGCGAAGCGCAAATGCAGCACAGTAATCTACATTACTTCTAGAGACACACAATTTTACAGTCTTAGCCCGAGCACCAAGCACAATAAAAAAGAAGACTCAACGACCTTCAATGACTTAGCTATCGTTTTCATTGACGCCATAATGTGAATCAACTCTTCTCTCACCGCCCCAAAAAAGAAAAAAGAAAAAAAGAAACGAAAAGAAAAGAAACCAGGTCTCTTGTCATATACATATATATATATAATGAGATATAACCTTCCTATGTGTTCAAGCGTAGTTATGGCATCCTCTTTACACAACTACGTTCTTGTTATTTTAACTTTGGCCATAATCCAATTTAAGGCAACTTCTGGTTCCCATCATCACCACAGACACCTCAAATCCCTTCACTTCTCGCTGTTTCAACATGAAACTATAAACAAAACAGGGTATATCATAGTGAATGGTGTAGAAGGTGGAGCAGGAATCACTGAAACCACAACCCCTTTTGGTACCTTATTTGTGTTTCAGGATCCTTTGACTGTCACAGCAAATAGATCCTCCAAACTAGTTGGAATTGCTGAAGGGACTTCCATAACCTCTAGCCTTGATGGGCTTCGAAGCATTTCAATTGCCAAGATAACTCTACGTTTGAAAAACCACAAGGGCTCTGTTTCCATTGTTGGTGGGACAAATAATGTGAAGGCTTCGGATCATCCAGTGGTAGGAGGCACTGAAGATTTCATGTTTGTGCAAGGCTATGTTACCTCTTCTCCAGTTGATCTTAAGGGTCTTACTGTTGTTTATAAGATCGAGTTTCATCTTTATTGGCCTCCATATGCAACTCAAGCCTCATAAAAAGGTCCTCCACACCTAATAATGCCCCAGTCCCAATGGGTCTTTTTTTTAATAAACTGTAGATGTTATTGTCTTGGTGTAAATTCTTCTTAGATAGTAGTCAGTAATTTATATTGTGTTGCTAAGATGCTGATTCATGTTGTTCAGCTTTCATTTGATTGTCTGTTTGTGCCATTATTATTATTATTATTTTAGTACTGAAATAAAGATTTAATGTCAGCAATCTGAAAAGCATTACCCGTAACTTATGAGAAATTGTTCAGACTTCAGAGTCCACACGAGGAGGACACATAGAATGACGAAAGCAATAGCTGCAGCCGAAACAACGATGAGAACTGCAACATAGTAGTGGCGACTAAGGCATAGATAAATCGATTTTTTCACAAAAATTGTGAAATTTTTTAATGACAGATGATAAAACATAATACGTTCAAATTGAGATCAATATCGAACATCCAAAATTTTCAAGATAATCATTCTTTTGGGTCAACCATAAATCTCAAAATATGCCGATTTTGGTCATAATTCCTAACCAAGGTTCAAATCATATAAAACCAAGGACATCAACGGAGGCAATACGTAACTTTTTCTACCAAGATAATATGCAATTTGATAAAAATTGTACGCTACAGTCAAATGATGCAAGGGTAGTATGATATAAAATCCATGGCACAAGGCTCTGCGCAACTGTTTGCGCGATTTTAGTTACTCACTAGATTATCACGTGCTTAATTTGTAGAAATAATGTAAGACTTTTGTAAAGTTGGACAAACTCACATTCGGTGCTTTTTTAAGGGGAAAAAAGAGAAAACAAAAATCAAGGAAACTCTACTTAATTTAAAAACAAGAGTAACTTCATATTAAAATTTAAAAGGACGGACATATTCCTTAAATTTAAATGGAGCATATGTAGTACTTTTTATTTTGACCGTAATTTAGAATGGTAATCATATGCAGACTTTACCCGAGCAGTATGCGACTGCTCACAATATTTCAGACAAAATATTGTTTTTCCTCATTTTGATCATAGTTCATAACGATGGTCCAAATCACCGCGGTAAGTCTTAGGATTTTATATTTGTTATGTTACATAACATAACAATATTTTTCTACACACACAATAAATGAGAGAGAGAAGGTGGAATGATAAAAGAGAGAAAGTGGAATGATAAAAAAGAGAAAAATATATGAACCCCACTTTTTTAATGTGTGTAGGAAAGTGTTGTTATGTCATGTAACATAACAAACATAAAACCCTAAGTCTTATCACGGAAACCCCAGAGATCATAATCAGTAAATATGCGAGTGTTTTTCTCAGTACACTGACATTAATGGAACGGTACATAAAATTTAAAATAAAGTAATCTCTATTGTAACCTTGACTGAAATCAAAACCTAAGAGGTTAATTCTATTGCAAGAGTAATGAATTATCTTAAGCATAAAAGAATCGACTAAATATCGGATTTCCAAGAGTGCTTCCATCTTAAACTGGGCACAAATAAAACCCGCATATACAAAGTGGGGATGGTACCAATCACTATAATGGGATATTAATCAAATTTGGAATCTATAATGACTACAAAATTAGTATGAAAGAATAAATATAATAAGTAGTACGCTAGGACCCTTGTGCAAACATTGAATTCGTTGAAGTGATCTAATGTAGAAGCAAGACTTCTGCAGGTGAGGCCTGTTGCAGAAGCTGGATACTTCAGGGGAAAATTTTTAATTGCTGAAAGCGATATGTACATTGAAGTCAACAACGGGGCTTGTGCAGGCGAGGTCTGTTACAGAAAAGCCGGCCATTGGCCCTCACAAATGCTGCTATACCAACACTAATGCTTGCCCACATTAATGAAAAAAAGAAGTGCCGAAAATCATATCTACCTGCAGGAACAATGAACATGAGATTATCACTGGAAAGCTATAGACTTCAAGACCAAATGTAATACCAGTTCGTTAACCTAGCACTTGGATAGTGGCCAAACTTTGTAACAACCTAATAAATGTAATGAGTTTTTACTTATGGCAAATCTGACTTTGCATGTACACCTGCAAAGAGGCAAGCAGAGAAATTCTCATAGAACTTCGCATCACTTAAATTATCCAGAAACCTTGGGCCAGCAATTTTGCAGCAGTAGGTCACTGGATATCTAACTACAGAAGTTACTTTGGATTAAACCCACTGGTTCATTTGAATGGCATTAAACATAGATCGGAATATGTTTGATTTGAACCTTCAGAATTTAGTGAAAGGTTCCACTCTCTATTAATGAACAAGTCTGAACTCTCATTTATCTACCCGGTGGCTCCATTCTGGTTAGAGTACTAAGGAGCAAAACGAAAGAAGTGGAAGGAAACAGGAAGCAAGAATGAATGATTCCTAGATTTAATTGATGGAACAAAAGGAAAGGAAAGTGGGACCAATATTACCCTAGGATTCACCATTTTTCCCTTATCACTGATAAAATGAATAGAGAGAGAATGCTAACTACTATTGTTTCCATGGGTCCACCAATATATCATATCCTATTTCACTTTTTTAGTCATGAACAGAGTTTCTGTTTCCTGTTTTTTCTCAGCCCTCCCTTCCTCATTCTCTTTACAAAAAACTCATGACCTTGATTCCCAAAAGCTTTGCATCTGGGTTTTATGGATTCAAGCCGCATACCTTGAATATCCTAAGTCACGTGTATGATGCCATAGAAACATATATTCGGTAGCCACCATCAACTGATGCACAACAGTCACTACCTTCCCGTACACTTTAGCAAGGAACAATGCAATAATCACTGGGCTACTAATTTGAAACCAATCTTAAAAGAGTATTGTAGAAAGCATTATAGCATATTCCCACCTCTCAATGCTGACTCAGAAAAATGGTTAGTTAGTAGAGAATATTCTAGAAGTGGGTATGGATAATAAATAGAGAGAAAATAAATGGAGAAGGTAGGCAATTACTTGGGATTGGGCTAGGGAGAAAAGGTGCTTGTCGAATCGCATCCATTATTTGTAATATCTTTATTTTATCTACCTTTCATTTAACTTCTTGATTTCTTGTCGTTTCTAGTCATCCATTACTGTTTGTAATTTTCCTTTATACTTTCAATATACAAAATCTGGTTTATCTATTCCTTTGTATCCCTTTTATTTTCTGTTTTTGAGTTGAAGATCCTATCAATTGGAATCAGAGTTATCTGATCCAGTTAGCTTTGAACCATGGCCTTGCTAAGAAGGAAGATATGGAGAAAGGAAATTCCCAAGTTTTATGGAGAAGACAATGAAGCTTAGGAATGGTTAATCTATTTAGAACAATATTTCTAGACAGAGAAAATATATGAAGATGAGAAGTTGAAAGAGGCAGTGAAAAGGTTTAGAGGATGTGTGTTCAATTGGTACAAATGCTGGAGTTGGCTCAATCCAAGTGCAAGATGGTGGATGTTTTTAAAGGCATTTCTACAGCGATACCAACCTGAGATTTGCTTGGAAGAAGATGATACAGAATTGGAAACACAAAAAAAGTCAGTGTTGGAGAAGTCCAAAAACATGAACAGAAATGAGGAGAGAAACAGGGTGAAAGGGGAGTCAGAAGTTGTTTGCATGGATATGGGTGAAATCGAACAAGGCACGCAGCGACTTGAAATGCGTAAGATGGCAGTGAAATCACAGCACCAGAGTTAGTAGTCGACCCATCCCCAACACTGTATCTGGACATGAATTTTCATAAGAGGCACAACCATGAACGGAAGTGGCTATGGGTGTGTGGTGATGGGAAGAAAGAGAGGTGAAGGAAGAAGAAACAATGATGGGTTTCTGCAATTCAGCAACGACCTAGGTAACGAAGGGAATTTTGGAATCTGGGCCACGTTATTGAGGTAAGGGATGAAGCTCAAATCATTCTCCCTATTATGTCAAGATTAGGCTTCTATGCCCAAATGTGAACAAAAAAATGATAATGATGCTTCAGTCTTTCCGGTATATCCAAATTGGGCTTCCAAGCCCAAGTGTGGACAAAAAAACTTTAGTATCTATCAAATTGACCAGAATGACAACGAACTCAAAATGAACATACTCTTGTTTGCTAAATTTGTTGAGATATATAGTCTCACATTGGTTGTATGTGCAACTAATGTGGCCTTTATAAGGCCTTGAGCACTCCCACCCTTTGAGCTAGCTTTTGGGGTGGTGTATCCCAAGGTTCTTTACATGGTATCAGAGCCTCGCCGTCCCCCACTTTCTCTTGTGGCGTTTCTTAGCACAGGTAGGTTGGGCCTGTTGCATTGTCCACTCTTCAAGCCCAATGGGCTCTCGTGTGAGGGGGCGTGTTGAGATATATAGTCCCACATTGGTTGTATGTGCAACTAATGTGGCCTTTATAAGGCCTTGAGCACTCCCACCCTTTGAGTTAGCTTTTGGGGTGGTGTATCACAAGGTTCTTTACAAAATTGAAATTAGAAAATAAGATAGTTTTTGATGAGCATGACATGATAGATTGGTCTCGACAATCTTCTTTCATAAAAGTGAAGCAAATGGGAGGTGCAGCATCTCGCCTTGGGTCATGGCTGACATGGTGCCATTACTCACTGGATATGTGATCATCATGGGCAGCGTTCCAAGATGGAAAAATGCAGCAGACCTATACTTCCATGACATCAGAGAAACTAGAATTTTCAAGGCAATGGAGAAAGGAATTATCGTTCCATTTTTTTGTGGGGTATAGAAGACACAAATGGGACTCCATAGCAAATGGAGCCAATTGGGTAGCATTTTGTTCTCAAGAGACCAACATATTCATGCTCAAATTGAGGGACATTCAAATATTGATCTGTTCTATTTTGGAGAGATACCAAATTAGTATATTTGCTTATGTGATGGAAATGGCTAATGAAACAGAGGAATACATGGCTGGAATTGTTCGTTATTTGGAATCGAGTTTTGGTTATTTTGGTGCAGATTGCAATATTATGGCAGAAATTAAATATCCAAGCGGGGCTTAGATTGATGTCCGAATAGTTATGGTTGGATCTTGGGCAGTTGATATGAAGACACTTGTGGAAATACAGTCTACAATAAAAGGTGATGGAACTACTGCGGAAGAGCAATGGGATCCGGGTGGAAACTATAACGCTTCTTGCACAAGTGGGTCCCTATACTACAAGCAATGGGATCCTGGAAAATGATTTTGGTGAGCAGGCTTTCATCTTGATGGCAAGGTGAAACTTTGAGGGGGAGATATTGATACGACACCAGTCGTAAAAGAATATTGTAGGAAGCATTATATCATATTCCCACCTCTCAATGTTGACTCAATAAAGTGGTTAGTTAGAAGAGAATATTCTAAAAATGGGTATGGATAATAAATAGAGAGGAAATAAATGGAGAAGGCAGGCAATTACTTGGGATTGGGCTAGGAACTTGGAGGATGTTAAAGAATAATATAAACCATTAAAAGGGCCCTCGCCCAAGAGCTTAAGCTATTGGGATGAATTGGTTCTTTACGTGGTATCAGAGCCTCGTGTCCCGGGTTCGATCCTCACCGCCCCCACTTTCTTTCTTGTGGAATTTCTTTCTTAGCATAGGTAGGTGAGCTTGTGCATTGTCCACACTTCAATCCCAATGGGCTATCTTGTGAGGGGACGTCTTAGAGAATAATATAAACCATTAAAAAGGGCCTCACCCAAGAGCTTAAGCTTTGGGTTGAATTGGTTCTTTACGCGGGAGAAGAGGTGCCTCTCGAATTGCATCCATTATCCGTAATTTCTTTTTGTTATCCACCTTTCATTTACCTTCTTGATTTATTGTTGTTTCTTGTCATCCATTACTGTTTGTAATTTTCCTTTATACTTTCAATATACAAAATCTGGTTTATTGAGGAAATTCCTTTGTATCCCTTTTATTTTTTGTTTTTGAGTTGAAGATCCTATCAGCTACTTACACCACATATGGTTCTTAATATACATCTGAGTAGTTTTGGAAAGCATGAATTACCCTTTACATTCAAATGGTATCAAACATTGTAATCTACTTGACGGAATATGGATTAAGCATAATGGACAATTGGTTAGTTTTATCTTGAAAAAGAAAAAGAACATGAAATGGGGATGTTTATTATATATGTAGTTTTAGGATGATGGATTTTTGAAACTGTATGTTTAGAAATTACCAGAATTGGAGTTATAATTACTAGTTTACTTCATCAATGTTTCAATTTAATAGGATAATGAATGTCAAGTGACGGGTTTCTATTCTTGTGGCATTTTAACTAGTTCACCTTTTTAAGGATTATTCTGTAGCTCAGCTCTGAGAATTATGGTGAATTGATAATTATTACTAAGCAGTTGTCCCTATTGTCCCTCTCCTTTCATGTTCTCTATCCCTCTCAACTTCCCCTTCATTTTCTATCCTCCCAGACTCTTCTCCCTTCTCCCTACTGTCCCTGCCTAATGGTATTGCTTCACCTATAAAAAAAAAAGAGGGTGAAAAGGTGGTTTCAAACCACAGGTCTGTCAATCGTTTGTGAGTGAACATGCACATGCAGTTACAAATCAATTTTTCATTTAGACTTAAGGTGTACTTTGTATCCTTTAAGCTAAAATAACAAAAGTAACTCACCTTGACTCAACGACATGGTTGCAAAAAGAAACCCAGTCAATACCAGACCCAAAGCCACAGGAAACGACTGCAAAAATAAACAACGTGATGTTAATATTATAAAATGCATATGATATTCTTCAAGCATTCCTAATAATAAACTGCAGCATTCCATAAACTATGGAAAGAAAAATAATCATATTAGATCTTCATCATGAGGCATCGCTGTAATGCAGTCCAGCAACATAATCATTTAAAACATTTCCTTGACTGTGTAACCAGGTTGCACTTTTTAATGTCGGAGATTTTGTTCTCAATTAAACCTAAATAAAGCATAGATTACTTGGCTTCATGTGGTATTTGTGTTTGATAATTGCTCGGTAGCCCCAGGATTGTACAGAAACACACATGCGGTGGGGTTGATCCCACCCCATGTGTGTATCAAATACAATTCGAGCTCGGTATTTGGACACATTGAAACCTACCACTATTCTGAAGAGTTAGGAGTTAGGACCAATTTTTGTATCCCTAATGTCTCAAAATGTAGAATAAGAAACACAAACAATTAAAAAAATTTATCCTCAAGGGGAAGTAATTTTAAGTATACTAAGAATGAATTTAGTCATATGTCACAAAAGTTAAAATATATACAATATGAATCTTCTGTTAACTGTTCCAAAACCAAAATAGATGCCTGAAACTTCAATAGGGAAAATGTTTCCATCTAAGTTGAACTCACAGCAATAGATTCGAGGCCTTGATTCTGAGAAGAGGGAGCCATATCTCGGTTGACAGAAACTATAAAATGTCCTTGCAAGAGATCAATTGCATCCTTCACATAAAAAAATAATGAACAGGGTAAATAGTTCACAAATACTAAAAATTTCTTTACATAACAAAAATAAGATATATACATTAGATCCAGAAAAGCTCAAAACTTTAATTCAACACAAGAACTGTTTAGTTTAGGTGGCGATGAGGACATATTGGATAAATTTTCTTAAGAATATGAACCACAACTAGATGAAAAATCAGTATGTCCACACGAGCATGATTACCACAGAGAAGCAAAACCTCAATAGAACTTTGAATAGGATGCTGAAGTAAAATCAAACATACAATCAGACCTAGATGCTGATGAGTTATGACAGCAGACACCTGTGAGGCTGTGAATTCTACCCAATACATACAATGAGAAGATATCCACAAACCTGCTTTGTTCCATCACGAAAGTTATTCAAATAATAGCGCATAAGAGCATTCCAACCGTCTTTTAGTATCCCCTCAACTGTGCGGTGCCCAAATCTGAATCCAACAAAAACCTCAATTAGGAAAGGCGTAGGGTTAAATTTATAATTGTAGCAGCAGCATTATTGAAACTTTTGAGAAATTATCACATCATATAGCCAGCATCTTGATATATGAATTTTATCAGACAGTTACACAAGGAAGTTATTCAACCTTGAAGTATAAACAATTACATAATAGCATTATAATTTTTTAAATAATTAGGGTTTGGTGTTTGTCATTTTAAAAGACATAAGTTATGTCATTTTAGGAGAGAGATAGACACAGAAAAACGGAAATCATGGGAGAGAAAAAGTGAGTAGTTTTTTTTAATTTAAAATTTAAATTTTCTGTGTCTGTATCTCTCTTAAAATGACATAACTTTCTGTCATTTAAAATGATAAGAAGTATTGTTATTCTAATTGAATATACTGGATGGTGCAATTAAAGCAGGCAATAAGAAAAAGAACAATAGACTAATATGGAAAAAATAAAATGCATGAGAATTCCCAAAATAGGGGAATGATGAAAAGAAAAAACACGAATCAATAGATTCAATTCCGATCCTAATACTATCAACAGTGTCATACACTAATATTTTAGAAAATACAATTAGAGCCGGTATAAAATTTATGTGCTTTTGTAATTATCCTAAGCTAATGTAATTTCAACATAGAATAACCTTTTATGTGTGCATCATTGCTCTATGTTCTTTATATGGGAGGAACATGGGAAAGCTTTGGAAAGAATCATGAAAAAGTACCGGACAAAATCTCCTTTCAGAGCAGGAGTGCCTGAGTATTGAACACTTATATCATCCCCATGATTAGCCCACACTGATCACAGAGAATCAGTTAGAATAGAATCTAGGTTTGAGTCCTATGAACAATATAAATAAGAATGTATCAAATGAAGATAACTACATAATACAACATATATTTATATGCCAAATATACATAATTTCAAAATTAGTAATGCACTTACAGATCTTAAAGCTTTTATCCAGATTTGGATGTGAAGAAATGGTTTCTTCAGCACCAAAGACACCAAGCCTTCTAAGCTGGTATTCCAGCATATTTCGACCTATCATGCTCTGCATGTTTAAAATTATTAAGCAAAAAAATGATGCCATAAATGCACAGATAACATGTAACTAATTTCAAAATGATGAAGGCACAGCAGTTGAGTGCATGTATGCACATAGATGCACATATGCAAATATGTAAATTGTTGAGCTTTTTTATGCTATGCTAAGCAGTAAGTTCAAAACATAAAATAACACAGGAATGGAGTGTTCTTAATAAAGGAGAATAAAAAAACAGAACACTTGCACTATACAAATCAACCAACCTGAGTAACATTTGTACGATCCAGACAATCAATACAATTGGTTCTAACAACCCCAAGTTGCTCCTTCATTTTCTCTCCCTTTTGATTATTCAATAGAAGATATCTACAATTTCAAAACAGAATTGCAATGCAACACAGCGATCAGATTTCTTTTGAGCACTTCAGTTAGTGCAGAAAAAGCAATTTGATTACAAAACAGAATAAAAATAGAAATTGTTAATGGTGTTTTGTAGTCAGACAGCAAATTACATTATGCACGAGGATTGTCCAAGAAACTATAGTAGATAGTTCCACAATATGCAACAAAAAATGTATTGTAAATTATTGGAATTTGTTGAACCCTGTTGGGTGAAACCAGACAATGCAAATGTGAATCCAATTGTTAAATAAAATCTGAAGAAAATCTCATATTTAGAGGACTAAAAGCTCAACCAATAAAATTTCCATACCCATTTGTCTCAATAAAATCTGAAATTTGTTCATAAAGGATTGAGAGACGATCGAAATGAATGTGCCCACAGATGTGATGGAAATCAAAGTGCAGATATCTACAAAAAGAAAAAAAGTATGCATGAATACCAAATAAAAAGAAACCAAAATAATGTATATACATAAATGTTGAGATATATAAAATCATTAATGTAGCCTCACCCAACAGCTTAAGCTTTTGGGTTGAATTGGTTCTTTACATGGTATTAGAGCTTCAGTGACCATAAGGTCACGAGTTCGATCATCACCACACCCCACTTGTGGAATTAAATAAAAAGCACAAAAGAAGGTAAACCAAAAAATTGGACCTGTACAATATCCACACTTCAAACCCAAAGGGCTCTTGTATGAGAGGGCGTGTTAGAGAATAATATAAATAATTAAAAAGGCCCTCACCTAACACCTTAAGGTTTTGGGTTGAAGTGGTTCTTTACATGGTATCAGAACCTCGGTGTACTGGGTTCGATCCTCGCTGCCCCCCACTTTCTTTCAAGTGGAATTTTTTTGTTCGCACAGGTAGGTGGGTCTGTGCATTGTCCACCCTTCAAGCCCAGTGGGCTTAAAGTGTGAGGGGACGTGTTGAGATATGTAAAGAACCTTGGGATACACCACCCCAAAAGCTAGCTCAAAGGGTGGGAGTGCCCAAGGCCTTATAAACTCCACATTAGTTGCACATACAACCAATGTGGGACTACATATCTCAACACGCCCCCTCACACAAGAGCCCTTTGGGCTTGAAGAGTGGACAATGCAACAGGCCCAGCCTACCTGTGCTAAGAAATTCCACAAGAGAAAGTAGAAGGCGGCGAGATTTTTGAATCCGAGACATGAGGCTCTCTGATACCATGTAAAGAACCTTGGGATACACCACCCCAAAAGCTAGCTCTAAGGGTGGGAGTGCCCAAGGCCTTATAAACTTCACATTAGTTGCTCATACAAATTCCACTTAAAAGAAAGTGGGGGGCGGCGAGGATCGAACCCGGGACACGAGGCTCTGATACCATGTAAAGAACCTTGGGATACACCACCCCAAAAGCTAGCTCAAAGGGTGGGAGTGCCCAAGGTCTTATAAACTCCACATTAGTTGCTCATACAACCAATGTGGGACTATATATCTCAACAAGATATATAAAATAATTAATGTAGCCTCACCCAACAGCTTAAGCTTTTGAGTTGAATTGGTTCCTTACAATAAACCTAAAAGCTAATTGAAAGATACTTCTACCTGACATCATCACTATCCACATCCTGCATTGTACTTCCAAATTTTTCACATAGCCTCCCCTCTCCTCCATGCTGATAAGAAACAAAAGAGACAAGAAAAGATACTCAGATAGATGCACGCTGAAACAATTCCATGCTCATTATCAGACAAAATATATCCTCAGGATCATGCACAGCATGGTACAGCGATAGTATTTGGTTATTGCATGCATTTTTATAGTTACTTAAAGTTCACTAACCATTAACCAATTAGATACACTACTATCATCAGACACAATTTGTCCATCATCAGATAAGCATTATGAGGTCATATGCAATGGAAAAATATTCACCGTGTTGACAAGATCAACAGCTAACACAGCCCCATATTTTTTTCTCAAGTCTAAGAAATGCCGCTCTAGGACTCGAGGCTGCATCATAGGCAGTGAAACAGCAGTCAAATAAACATACAATATGAAATGGAAACCACAGAAATACAGCAATAAAACAACCACTTACAGCTTCCTCAAGTTTCAATAACTCATACTTTGGTTTATATGTTAAGTCCACTATTTGTTCCCAGAGCAGTGGAATTGAACCACGAACCTGCAAAAGATCAACAAAAATGGCACCTATGTAAATGAGATGCAAGAGGGTTATGATGGTGTAAGGCAGCTCGCTATGGAATTATGGAGGATTGCATTGCCACGGACATTTGGTGGCCATGATAGAAAACTATAAATTATATGAAAGGGCTTGCATAATGTGAACAATAAAAATATAACTTATATCAAGAATAATAAACATATCTAAACGTTTTGTATCATATCAAACTTACTAAAAGTATCACAAACTCTAATATAAATGCAAAGGATGTGGGGTGGATTAATAAGTGGGATTTGTTTTCTTAAAACAAAGATGAAAATAAAAGCCAAATCTGATTTGTCGGTGGTTGATGTTAGAGATATATAAAAACTATTAATGTAACCTCACCCAACAGCTTAAGCTTTTGGGTTAAATTGGTTCTTTACATGGTATCAGAGCTTCGGTGTCACGGGTTCAATTATCATCGCCCCCCATTTAGTTAATAATTAATTAAGTCTTATGGAGTTTCTTAGCACAGGTAGATGAACCTGTGCATTGTCCACTCTTCAAGCCCAGTGGGCTCTCGTGCGAGGGGGAGTGTTAGAGATATATAAAAACTATTAATGTAATCTCACCCAGCAGCTTAAGCTTTGGGTTGAATTGGTTCTTTATAGATGGGTTACAAATAAAAAATTAAAAAAAAAAATCTTAAATTGAGAGACTGAAACAGACGATTTCAAGTTCAAGGTGATTCACACTGTGGGTATTCTATGCAATGGATATTCATGGTGGATTTAGTGGGTTGTTCATGGTTGAAGAAAGTTAGTTGTCTGGGGACTTTGTGGCTTCTTGGTGTTGGGAGAGTCGTGTGATAGGTGGTGAGAAGACTCTGCTTTGGTCGCGTGAAAACAAAGCATAGGAAACAAAGAGAGATCGCGAGAACTCGAACGTGAGTGGGATGTGAAGCTGATACCTGAATGAGAGACAATGGAGAAGGAGTCACTGCAAGACAGTCATCAGGAAAGACATACACACAGACAGAGAAGAAAAAGGGAGGGAGGGTTTCATTCAGTTTCAGAGGCAGAGATGTATGCAATGATTCGGTGAGGGCTATCATTGGGGTTTTGGAAAGAATTTTTAGTTTGGAACTCCAAAATACGCTTAAAACAAATTTTAATTTTCCATTTGAATCATGGCTTCGCCATACTGCCGTGGCCCATAGCCATCATGTGCCGTAAAAATGACAGTAAGCAACCTAGTTCCTATTTGATTTCGCCATAACCAAATCGTAAAAAAAAACTCGCTACCTCGGTTATATTCAGCTATCATGATTTGGAAATAACCAAGATGTTTACTGTGGAATGCTATTTTCCATTCATCAACTGTTGCATTTGGAAACACTTAGGCCTAAAAGTATATAATAATCTTCTCAGCTCAAGGTAAACTCATCTCAAAGCTGAAAAAAAATGTGGTGACTACTAAGCACATGGATCAACTAGTAAGGGGTTGTTCCAGTTTAAGCAGTAGTCTCGAGTTCGAGTTCCTGATAACGCAATTGAGTTAAAATTTGGTAGGGAGAGCTATGCCGCCTATGTGGTCCTACCCAGCTCCAATCGGACTAGTTGAGTAATCAATGAACTGATAGATAATATCCAAAAAAAATGTGGTGATTCTCTGCAAAAATGTGGCTATGTTTTCCTTCATGGTAAATATCTTATCAGGAGTTCCTTTTGGTAATTTCTTGACTAGAATGCTAATAAAAACTTGAAAAGCTTTATAATACTAATATTTACTCAAAATCTAGAAAGAAAGAAACAATGGCCATGCTGGTTAGACTTTGTGTTGGAGTGAATACAGAACAAGAGATAAATGAGAGGGGATAAATATAAGTGGGGGGAGGGGAGCCTGCCACTTGGACAGTACATACCCAAGCAATGATAGGGTAGTTGGGCGGTTAGTTCCCATTAATGTGTATATAAGGGATGTTTTCATGGTAAAAAGACACTTCTGGAAATATTGTTGCAAGACTGAGAGTTTCTCGGAGTGAAGGAGGAACTCATTTCTTGTGAAGAGCTTAGCTCGCGTGTTCTTGTAAACCCATATCCTCTCATCAATAAACACCAATCTTCTTCCTCCTAGCCTTTTTCCCAATCCCCTCTATTGTATTTTCCTTACCTTGAAATGCAGAGCTGTAATAGAAGGGAACTTATTTCCCCTTTATTTGGATGTTTATGTCTAAGTATAAAGAAGGATGGGAATTCCATTTCCCTTTACTACTGCTTGGGAACTTTACAAAGCTCAAGACGGTGATGTGGCTGCTTGCAATAAGTATGGTATAAGGGGTTTGGACTACTGAGCAGGGAGAAATCTTCCTACCATGGTGGCTTCCTCATATGATAGCACCTCCATGCAAGGTTAGGTTTTGGACTTCAACCTTGAGGACAAGGTTGCTTCTTAGGAGAGTGGTATTGATACAATTAGTATTAAGTGAGAAAATATATTCTGGAAAGAATATACCAAGTGATTAGAAAGCTAGGAGGTGATTAGTGAGTTAGTTAAGAGGATATGCAGTTATGAGTTGTAAACTTCTCCAACTATATAAAGGAATGTGCTTCTAGATAGAAAAAGCTCTTGAAAAATATTATGTTAGGCAGAGTGTGCTCAAATTAAGGGGAATGCCCCATGGCATGAGAAGTGTCTCTTGTGTGCTCATTTGATTTTCTCATCAACAAACAAATATTTCCTTCTATTTCCATTTGTTTCTTTCATTCTTCCTTTCTAAAATACCAATTACAATCTCTTAGAATCCAGAGCTGTATCAATTACACTTGCCCTTTAATTTTGGAAATTTTTTGTTGATGATAGTATGAAACAATAATTATTTTAATACTGTCTAGAGCTTTTACTCTCCTATCAACTACCAAGCAAGCTGTAACACCCCGTTTTAGAACCGGTTTATTAACATTACGTATGGCATTAAGCGCAGTTACAATCACAGTAATTGAATTAAAGTACGGATAAACTTTTTCCTTTTCATTAATAGACGTTTCTGTTAAAAATTAATTCCCTAATTAAAACAATTCCAAAAACTGTAATCATAACCTAAACTAAGAGTGGAACACTTAATGTAATTTTATTTAGACCATACGTTGCTACCCCAGTGTGCCAAGTAGTCCCCTTAGACCAACAAGCCTTAAAAGCTCATTTTTATTGACATTCAACACTAAACACCTCCACTTTTTATTTATTTAAGGAATTTTATACTACTTCTATGGTCCTCATCTCCCAATATGTTATAGAACTCTTTGTTAGCTGTGCGTGGGTTCAAACCGCGCTCAAATCAGAGCACCGTAGCTCAAGTTATTAATTTTTGAAAAAAGGGTGCTGAATTTCGCAGGGTCCCGCGCTGACAGAGCTAAACCCGCGTTGCACAGGACCTTGCGAAATTCAGCACCTTTTTCTTCAAAAATTCATAACTTGAGCTACGGTGTCCGAATTGAGCGCGGTTTGAACCTGCACGTAGCTAATGAAGAGATCTATAACATAGTGGGAGATGAGAACCATAGAGAAAGTATAACATTCCTTGTGTAACTAAAAAATGAAGGTGTTTAGTGTTGAATATAAAAAAAAATGAGTTTTTAAGCCTTGTTGGTCTAAAAGGACTACTTGGCACACTATGGTAGCAATGTATGGTCTAAATAAAATTACATTAAGTGTTCCATTCATAGTTTAAGTTATGATTACAGTTATTGAAATTGTTTTAATTACGGAATTAATTTTAAACAGAAACATTTATTAACGGAAAAGGAAAAAGTTTATCTGTCTTATGATTCAATTGCTGTGATTGTAACTGCGCTTAATGCCATACGTAATATTAACAAACCGATTCTAGAACGGGTGTTACACAAGCATAAATTACTTAGCAGCTCTTACTGTATTTCGCTTCTTGTCCATCTAATTAAACTATGAAATGTTACTAAAAGCTTTCTTTACAGAATTTAGCAATGCTTTATTTGCTAGCAGGCCTAGAAGCTAGTTTCTAAAAAGTTCATTACCAAAAATTTGAACGGGAGCAGTATGTACTAAATCCTATGAAGCACCGACACTTCCCGACACTCTCGGACACTCCGATATTTTCCGACACTTCAACACGCTTTATAAAAATTCGAAAAAAGGTTCAAAAGTTGCGTTGCGTTGAGTTTTTAGTTCCAACTATTAGGTTCATTGGATTGCGATTACCATTTTATTGAGTTTAATATAAATATTTGGGATATCTTATGTTTTTTTACAAAATTTATGAATATTATAAGTTTAGATTCATTTTTTTGTTAAATTATTGATTATTAAATATAATATACACTACATAAATTAAAAATATTATTTAATATCAAAACGTGTCCTAACGTGTCGAAATCTAACAGTTTTTAGAATTAACGTGTCGGAGTGTCGTGTCGTATCGTGTCACGTGTCGGTATCGGTGCTACACAGACTAAACAAACAGAATGAAGAATTTTCTAAGCATATTGGACTTAGAAAAATTGAAAACTTCTTAGGCAGCTTATATATATATATATATATATATATATATATATATATATATATATATATATATATATAGGGGAAAGTACTTCTTATGTGACTGTAGAAGGGAAAAAGTGCAGCAACACTTTCTTTTATCAGGATACGCGTCCGAATCCTGGTTTTTTTTTTTTTTTTTTGATAGAATCCGCACGTGTATGCTAGTGTTAAAAATTTGCTGCAAATTTTCTCATCAGCAGTCACATGAGAAGCGACGGACACATATATATATATATTTAAAGAAGAAGAATTAGTAAAAAAATCCCTACTGTTAACTTTCCTATAGGTTGAGAAGACAATTTTAAAAGAGCTATTTCAAAACAACGATAGCTCCTTAGGATTAAAATAAGGATCAATGAATTAAATAAAATCATGAAAACCTTCACTTGCATGGTACCATACAATTTCTGCATGATAATGCAAAGCATTACCTGAACAAATGATGCTGTATACCCATTGAACTGCATAATTTGCTCTGATTCCACAAAATTAGCGACATAACCATCAGGATCAGCTCCTCTTCTCCACATCCGAGTGCCTTTCAGGAAATAAAATTGTATATGCACCATTAGCCAACCAACCAATAAAAGATGATGTCACTTCAACACAAGCCCTTGAAAATTCTTTATGCTGCTGCTATGCAGCCACATAACAGTAATCCTTAATATGGTAGCTCAATCACCCCCATCAGTGACACAGGCGCTTCATTAAGCAGCCAGAAATCATAACCACTAGTTTTCTCACAGTTTTCAAATTGTATAGATACTATTAAATATTGTATATATTAATATAGTTCTACTCCAGTCCCTTATTAACTTTCCAAATAAAGAGGAAGGTAGCTTAGTTCGGTTCCTTTCCTTCCCTTTCGAGTCTATCCCTATTTATTCCATCCCATTCCATTAATGAAAAAAGGCACACACACAGAGTAAATCTTCACCTCTGCTGAAGTTATATCCAAAAAAAAAATCATTTCCGTCAAACCCCGACTAACGAGGATAGAGGTGAGGACAATCTTTGTACACAGTCTTACCCCTACATCCTTACCTTGCATATTTGCAAAGTGGTTGTTTCCCGAATTCAAAACCGTAACCTTTCAATTACAAAGAACAACTTTACCACCCCTCCAAACTCGCCTTTTTTGCTGAAGTCATATTCTCATGAATGAATTAATTGAAAGCAATGTGAGCACAAGTGTCTTAACCTAAACTACTAGAAATTACAATACATATTTTCTGTCGAAAGGATTAATACCATATCTAACTTTTCACGTCTTGGACCTACATATGCTCGGTAAAACACACCTATAATGGAGTGCAAACCATCCTAGCAATCTTCTACAATTACTTTTGTTATTACCACCAAAGTAACCACTACATTAATTTCATGGCCTAAAAGATGTTGATTTTCCAAATGGTAAAGAAACACATACAAAAGCTTTATAAGTGCATAGGCAATCTGGAAAATAGAAATTTATTCAAAAGCTTTAAATACCATTTCTTCTGGTGCATCTCCTTGCAATCAAAGTGATGTCAATAATATCTTTTCCAATGGCCGCTTGAAAGTAATGAAAGCCTAATTATTTGTTAAGGATAATCCTAGAAAGGAATAGTTAAGTGATTGCCACTTAACAATAGAAATAGTCAAAATAAAAAAATAAAAAAATTAACAAACCAAACAAAAATTGCATGTCTTAGAAACACAACCATAATATGATGAATATAACAATGAGAAAAAGATACTTCCTTGGACTACAGGGAGTAAGTATGGGTCAAGCTGCATGCACAAGATCAAACATTAATTAGTAATATAAAAATGCGTAAGAAATGTAGAAATTCAACCAAGTATCAACAAATTTTCAACAAGCCTACCTTGTTATCTATGAGCACTTCCAGCATATAATTATTCCATAGAAATCTAGGCTCTGCCTGTGATAAAGCATTTGTAACATAAGCAGAAAAACACGAGAAAGCAAGAAAACTGCATATTGAATCAATCCAGAGTGTCACATTGTTTGCATAGACATCAATAGTATCACCCAGGGATAATATTAAGAACAACCCCATAAACCACTCTGTTAAATCCCGACTAGCAAGGGTAGGGTTGAGGCCAATCCTTTGTATGCAGCCTTACCCTTGCATATTTGCAAAGAAGCAGTTTCTCGGATTCGAACTCATAACTTTACGGTCACAAAATAGTAGCTTTACCGTTGCTCCAGGCTTACCCTCTTAAGAACTACCCATCAAAGAGATAATATTTCAACCAAGGCATCCACACTATTTGGTAGTAAAAGTCTCCTGTAGCAGACAGCTAGTGATACAAAAGGCAATAAAATACCTGTCTCCAAAGAGGAAGCAATCTAGACTCATCACCTAGGTCATTTAGTCGCTGGGCACTGCAATCATATCATTAAATACAATTTTACATTTATTTTTTCTCTCAATGACAAACATATAATGACCCTAACTGGTAAATCTTAGTTAGAGATTTAATTTAAGGATTTAAATGCCATAATTAGATTCAGTGAGCGATTTCAAGTATTTTGACTGTAATCATGACTATGTTATGAACAGTGCGTTCTGCCGGAGAATTTACAGTTTTGTGAATTAACCGGTAGAGCTTAGAAAGAGCAAAATAATTTTAGAGACATAATTTGATAATTCTGACGACAAATATGAGTTCAGAACGAAAAATTGTATAGTCTGGCACTTTCCGTGAAAATCTCATGAATAGTGTTTCTACCGGGTATTTTGTACTGCTGTTTAAGCAACCGGTAGAGTCCAGAAATAAATAATTGATGAAATAAGAATAAGAAAGTCCAATATATGCCAAGCAAGTCAAAATAGGCCCAAGAAAATGATAAGTTTATAAGTTAAGTTCAGAAGTGAGCGAAGTACAATTAGTGATTCACAGTGCATTTCGTTAAAACAGTGCAAAAACCATACTGTGAATTATGAATATTATTTAGTAACAAATTAAAATTAATGTAAATGATTTTAGAAAAATAAAAATATCTCCGTAGATATAAGTTAGTTCCGGGTCCGTTAAGTTAAAATACGCGATAGAAAAACATCCGATTGAGAAAGCCACATGTGCTTATAACTTAAGTTTCCTTCCAAAAGTTACTATTCACATCAGCTCACCTTCCCTCTCTCTCCTCAAGGCCGAGTCTCTCCTCCATGGAAGGCTAGGTTTTCAAGTTTTCTTTCTCCTTTGATTTCTCCCTCCACACTCAACCAAATCCTTAAGTCCATACACGAAATTCATAGGAAATCAACCAAGGAATCCATTCCACCGCTTTGTTTGGGCTGGTTTTGCTTGTAGAGAGAAATATTCCTCACCCCCAATTCGTGACACTATTCATCATTGTGGAAAAGTGGGGTTTTTGAGTGAGAAAAGCTTGGGTTTTGTTCCTTGGAGCTTGGGTTGGCAACTATAGGTAAGAAACCTCTAACCCTATGGTTATATTTTTGGTGATTTGAGTCTTGTTAATGATGAGCATATTTTGTTGGGAAATAATTGATGTTAGAATGTAAAATTTATGATGGATTATTGTTGTTTAGGAAGTTATAGTGTTGAGTAAGCATCCACATGTGATATAAAAATTTAAAAGCCCTATTGCATCTTCCTCCTAGGTTTCGGCCATCATGGAGTGAGTAGGAGTTATTGTGGAAAAAATTATATTATGTATTGTGAAGGTATAGTGTGTTGGAAATGAGTGAAAATGGATGAGTTAGTAAGAATGCCTAAGTAAAAAGGACTTGGTGTCTAAACTCAAAATAGGAATTTAGTGGAAGCATTCCTAGGTGTTTGCAAGTTGTAATGAAGTAACGAAAATGTATTGTAAAAGAGAAGAATCTTTGGAAATTCCCCTTGTAGGATTCGACCTATAGGGTATTTAGGGATATATTTTGTACATTTTATTTTAAATAAAATGTGTTGTAATAAATTGTATAAAGGTGATGAGTTTTGAAGAAAAATAGCATGATTTATGTTGAAAATTCCTAAGGGAATGGTTGATTAAATTAAAGAACACCAACGGTTATAAAGAGGTCTAGACTTGTGTATTGGCATAGGATTGGCAAAAATGCAAAGAAAGGAAAATAAGCGATAAAATGTATGCTTATGAAATAATTATGGTATTGCATCATTTTATTGATGCATTGTAAATTATTCTCTAGGTGTGCCTAGGGATTGAGAAGGATCGGAAATCTCTTGAAGCGATAAAAGTAACTTGTTCCACAAGTAAGCGTATTGGTAAAGCTTCAAGAGGTAAGCTCTATGTTTAAGGAGTCTTTTCCTGCTTGAGTGCTCCACCATGGTTAGTGAACTATGGTTGGACTGTATGACTGTGATTTAGATGCTTTGTATAGATGCATTCATATAGAGTTATTTGATAACATGATATGTTTTGCTCTGGTATGACTTCTGTAATATGATTTCTGTAACAATCTCTGGCCATTGATTGTATAGTACCCGGATGTCCGCTTTGGGGTCCTCCCTCGGGACTGATGGTGTACGCCTCTGATATGTCTGGTTCCGCTTTGGGGTCCTCCCTCGGGAACACGTGCGTTGATTTCCGCTTGGGGTCCTCCCTTGGGAATGACGGCGCACATCTCTGATATGATATGGATATATGCTCTGTTCTGTTATGATATCTGTTATATGTTGTATTTGTATACTCTGTATCTGACTTTCATGCAGGAGTGAGCCAGGGGTATGGAGAATTCTCTATAAACCTGGAGCTTATTGAGATTTGTAATCTCACCCCTCTTTGGGGACATATTTTCAGGTGCCCAGATTCCCGGTGAGTCCTCACTAGGCAGGGACACGACACGTGGCTGAGGCAGTTGACAGATTGGATTTTGAGTGGCTGTAGGCTACTACCTTTTTGGAGTGTTTGATGTATTTTAGTATTTTCGCATTTGATGGATCATGATATTGATCCTTTATTGTGTATATGGCCTGTATATGTTTTGTACATGTCTGTCGCTTTGATGCATGTACATTTGGGTATTCAGGCACGTTATATGATGAGGTAGTATTCAGATATGTTTACGTGTTGGATTGCATGCTGTTAGATATAGTGGCACTGAGCCAAGTTATGCATGCGCCCATGGATGGGCATTTGATTATATTTGTATAAACTGTTTATCAGGAAATGCTTCTGTGAGGGATTGGAAAATCCCCAGTTGTCCGATTTATAGAGGAAACTCTGCCCGATTTTCGTTTACGACGAATGAGAATTTAAAAAGAAAAAAAAAGTTAGCTCGTATTTTCAGAAGTTAAGTCTTCCGCTGTATTCTGTTTTATCATATGTATGTTAATTGAACCGGCTCGAGACGGGGATGTTACAAAACATAAATAAGTTATGTTTACATCATGCATTGTTAGAAAACTTTCCAACACCCAGAATTATTTATATAATCAGGAAGACTTAAACCTCCAAATTTGTTAGCAACCCTTGTTTTTTAGTGGCTATTTTTCAGAAAACATTTTTATCCCCATTTTTCACCTTAGAATTTAGCAGTTTACAGTGCCTGACCATCAGACTTAACAGAGCAGTCAGGCTATCATAATTCTCATTACAAAAATTACAGGTCAATGAAGGCAGTTATAATGTATTATTTAATAATTATTTTGCTAGAAGCAACACCTATTATGCTGAACATTTCCCTCCATACTGTCTTTTCTTATTAGAAATCGTCCACCACTTGCCATTAAATATTAAAAGTACCTGCAAACTTTTCTAACTTAAAGTAATAGTCACTATATTACCACTAAAGATTATAATGCCTTTTAATGAAGATTGCAATGATCTGTAGCTTTACGTTGGTTAATTTCTAAAAATGCAAATTATCTTTGTCTACTTAAAAGAAAAATATAGGCTTATATTAAAATAAATTGCTAACCATAAAATCAGTGATCTATAGATTTACATAGAATAGGTGCACTGCAGGCTCCTTTCCTGAAATAGAGAAGATCCATCAATGTGCCTACATTACCTAAGAATTGTGTTTACTCTGCGCTGATAACTTTCAAACTTGGTATGAATGCTACTCATGCAAGATGAAGTTCTCAAACATGCGTGAATTAATACATACTTTAGCCATTAAACTACAAAAACTGATGCAATCGTCCTAAATGTCATGCTAGAAGACAGAATATATTGATTATAATAAAAAAAAAAAACTGACTTTTTCAATATGTGTAAAGGTTGCATGGTTGCACCCATTTGTTAATCAAAGTATTCCTTCTCTATGGATATTTATATAAACTTACTTGGGGAAGTAATAAAACAAGACTTAATGGAATAGAAAATAAATTGGTGAATGGTGTGTCTTGCTACGATACGGGGGAAAAACTATTAGATTTGTGAAGGGGTCGACCCCTTTTTTTTCCTTATGTTCCAAATGACTCTTTTTAGTACTTGTTCCTTATATTTATGTTAATTATTTTTCTTTCTCTCTAATTGACTTTTTTCTCTTATTTAATTATTTTATGCTTATTTATTTTTATTTCTTTATTTCATTTTTTTATTTTATTTTTTATTTAATATTATTATTATTATTATTTTCATTTTCATTTTTATTTTCTTCTTTTTCGACAATCATTTTTTTCTTTTTATTTGGGTTCCTTGATGGGTGACCCCAAATAATTTGGGATAGAAGTGTTGATATTCATCTATAGATATAAGGCAGCAAATTTGAGAATCAAAATAGAATCATATCATGTTTCGTCAAAATTACAATTAGATAACTGTTAAAAATACCCAAAGAAGTTTACCTCAGAGTTAAATTAGTGTCGTATGAGAAGAACAGACCAGATGTCTTCTCAGCGACATTTAACAGCCCAGAAAACTCCATCTCTGTCTTCTTCTGCCAAATAAGGTACAGCAATGATGAGTTTCGAACTGCTTATGAATATAAAATTAAATTTAAAAAAATAACAAAATAACAAAAATGGAGTTTCAGCAACTTACCTGTTCAGCAGGGGTATTATTAAGAGAATAATCACATGATAAAACCTTCATGGAAGAAATTTTGAAAATTGGGTGCCCCAAGTAAGATCCAACAGATTCACGCTCGGTTATAATCAGCAGATATGATCCTAAAGGCATTTAAAGTTGAACAACATTAACGTGATTAGTCAAATAGGTGTCTACAGTTGAAAAGGAACAAAATATAGAAGGAAGCTCAGGTATCTGATGTAGATATAAAAAATAAACGTCATGATCAAAATCAAAAGAACAACCTAATGAAAAAACTAGAGACCTAGTGCACTAGCTATGGAGATAAATGAACCAAGGGAAACCCATCTATCTTACTTGATCCTTAACTCCACTGCCTTTTGTTCAAAAGAAATGCATAATTTAGCTTACCTCTGCCCGAAATACCCAAATGTTGTTGGTATCTTATATTCTTATTCTATCTTTGTTTTCATCTATGTGCCAAGATCAATCATCATATCATTAGTTGAAGCTCCCAACTATGATATCTCTCCAAAAAAAAAAAAATCTAGTTTGTTCACATTGTAGAATTGTCACATGGACAATAAGGAATACCAACATAGTCCTTGCAATATCGGCAATCACACAAGCATTTGGCATAATACAGATAAGTAGATAAAATAATCACATTTATTTCTATTGTCCACAACATCACTCAGAAATCAAGGTTAAGTGTCAGCTAACATTACTTACCAGCCAAAAGCCTTAACATCCCAACCACACCAAAAATTGTCAAAATCTTAGGAACTCGAAGGGTGCTGCACTCCGGAATCTCATCTGTCCAAAGTAACAAAAAAAAAAAAAAAAAAAACGCGAAAAGCAAGGATTGAGCTATTAGATATGCTAAGCAAAGCACAAACAGAACCAATGGAACAAACAACGAACCAATGAGCTTCATGGATCCATCTATTCGACTAACTGCCAAAGAAGAACGAGAAGATCCATCCGTTGGTTCAATCACATACTTATCCGGAAATTCCCAAATCCGCATACGCGTGTACAGCTTCTGTCCGGAATCTTCCCTCTCCATCATTACCGGAATTCCCACCACACTGAAAATTAACAACACGGACTCAGTTATTCAAAGATCAAGGAACTCCTTTCACCAGAAATCACCGTCAAATTCAAATCCAAATAAGCTTCTAGGGATTTCCAGATCCATGGAAGCAATAATCCAGTCAAAACTACTCAAACTACGTTAAATCAAGCTAATATGAATCGAAGAACCTGGTTCCCGCGTAAAGCAGTAATCGAAAGTAGAGTTCTGAGATTTTCTCGCACTTTCTCGGGCAAGAAAATGCAGAAAGAGGAAGAGAAAAGTTTACCTGGTCGAAGGTTGACGAATGAAGATTAAGTATACAAATTTGGATTAACGAGCTCTTGATTATGCTGTGACGACGAGTTTCGAAAAAGGGAGAGTGGTTCGCTTCTATTGTTTTGAAAGTAAGGGCGTGTTTAGAAGCTTCACCAATCACAACGTGTAAGTGTGATGAAGATGAGCTAACACTGCAAGTTCGAATTCGTAATATCCAAATCGCGAATTGCGCCACCGGGGCGTGAAGCTGCGACTGGTTCCGCTGAAACGGTGCCATATGACTATGAGTTGGATAGGCGTGGATTACGGGTCTCTGAGTGCTACGAGCCTAGTACTACGGAGAACCCAATGACGTAGTCAATTTAAAATTTCATAATTATTCACGATAGATTCCAAGAATAAAGATTGCGTTAGTCACGTCTACTTACGAATATCATTCTCATTTATATAGTTCTTATTTAATTATAATTTACTAACCTAAGCTTCTACGTTAATATAAGTCTTATATTTTGCCCACTAATATTCAACTCTAAAAGCACTCATAGTAGCACAACTAATTAATAATGTTTAACTTGAATTTATGTTTTAACAATTGGGAGTGGATATCATAAAAATGATAGATAATTATATCATACCATTTTAATTTGTTTGGTTATGGAAACTTAGATTAAGATTGAACATCCTCTTATCCCATATATTTCTCTCCTTAAAACTTCTCTAGGATCGTTATAGCTAATCTCGCAGCCAACCCCTACCACAAAGCATGTGCCAAAATGTAGCTCTCTTCTCCTTTGTTAGTAATATACTGGTTTTGGTTCTTCGATCCTCACTATGAACACCCTCATTGTCGTGTAGTTCCCACAGGGCCGAAGCAACCCCCAAAGTTGGAACTCAATCTTTACCGGGCTATCTAATTCCCCACTAGATTGCACATTTTCCTTCTCATCTAGCTGGGGCTGCTCTATTTTTACTCTTTCATATATGGAAGAACTTGTTTTCTCATCTGCATCACATTCCCCTTCTTCAGCTTGTACTTCCCCTTTAGAAATATTAGTTTTAAATTGTGATGTTGCCATATCCTCATCAAGCAATCGCAATGGAAGCTCATTCATTTCATGGATCTCTGAATCTAACTCATTACGTGAAACATCATCCACAATGGCTAGGAGGCTTCTATCCATTATCATGGCAGTACTCAGTGGCAAAGCTAGCAAGATTAATCCAAAAAAATTAGCTGGAGCCAACCATTAAATTCCATCACTTCAAGTTAGCCACAGTTATTCACCAACGTCTCTAACGTGGCTAAATTTTAAAAATTAGTCTCGGCCTTGGAGCCAACGTGGCTCCGCCACTAATAGGACTTCCAGTTATTTGGGCCTCTACCCTCCCTTTCTCATTTTGTTCTTCCTTCCCAGAACTAATATCATTGATATCTTTATGTATAGCTTACACTATCTTCGTTCAAAATACTGTTAGAAATCCTACTCTGTCCATTTTAGTTACATTTTTGGCTCCCCCTCGTCTAAATTTCTAGCTCTGCCACTGGTTGCAACCATGTTCCAATCCTTTTAACAACTCTCTTCTTTGTTTGGTCACTGAAAACATGGTGAAAAGTATTAAATGATAAGTACAAGACCCAAATTTCAAAGTCTTCTTTCTTTTTCTCACACTCTTGGTTTTTCCCTATCAAGTACTTCCAACAAAGGCCAAGAAGAACCAAAACAAACATACGCAAGCTAATTAAGAGAGAAGAGAAGAGATCTAAGTTTGCACTAGTACAGTGCTTAGGTGTAGGGGTTGCTTAACGGCGGTGGTAGAGGTTAGATATCACGTTCTCAGTGAAGTTATGAGGAGAAAAGCATAACTATGTTCGGGATAAGAGTGGTTATGTGAAATCTGCATGAAAGCACACAAAACTTGGCTGAATAAGATCTTTCAAGTCAGATTCAAGATAGATAATTAAAAGTGTGATATATGCCTTAATTGATAACTATCTTCTCCTTAATTGATATATGCCTTTTTAAATAGACTAATTACAAATCAATCCCAATTTTTAAAATCCTAAAACTAAAGAAAGTTTTAAAGATTATGATAAAGTAATTATCTTTTTAAAATAAGAAAAAATTCTAAAGATAAAAAACAATGATAGTTATCTCCTAAAAAAAAGTTTCTAAAGATTAAAAAAAAACTAAGCAATTAAAATAACATACAAGTTTAACCTCCATATTCCAGCTCTCAAAAGTCAAAACACGCCAATTTTGCAGTTGTCCGTTTTTTGTAAAGAGATTATTCCTAATTTTTTGCAGTCCAATTTTTTGCCCAATAATTACACCCAAAATTGTTGTTTCATTTCAAATTGGATTTTGGACAAAAATTTTAAATTAATGCTTCTTTAAGAATGTGGATCATGTTTAATGAGGCATAAATTGTATATAGAAGGTATGTTTTGATTATAATAAAGTGACAACAGCAAAAAGACATAACATTGATTAAGAGCAAAAAAGCATCAGCCATGTGTGAAGATTGAAGATACATAATTGAGCCACAAAAAGAGCAATGAGATATTAAAGTTTCAAGAACATGGATGAGCTATATAGAAAGATAGCAATGGATCAAGAGCAACAAGGAAGAATAAGAAGAGAAAAATCATGAAAGGATCAAAGTATTGCAAAACCAACAAGTCAAGCATCAATTTCAAGTGAGGATAAAGATCCAAGAATCAACACAAGAAGCTAAGTCCCTGTTCATATTATATTATAATTTTAGGACTTAGATAAGATTGTAAGGGCATATGATAGATTGTATTACATGAGCTCGAAGTTTTCTTTTAAAGTAAACGTGTTTTTTAAATTGCATAATCCATAGACTTTAAATAGTTGAAAGAAATTTGAAAAACCTATGGAAAAGATCCCTTGACATATATGTTTTACACCTTCAAAACATATTTATCAAGTTAAGATCTTTAATAAAAAGTGATTGAAATCCCTGCATATGGGAATCGATTACCTCATGTGGAAATCGGTTACTTACCTACGGGAATTGATTCCCTCTTCCTGGAAAGGTTGGGAATCGATTCCCTAAGAATGTTGATTCCCTATGCGACAGAAAGCCTATAACGACTATAAACAGTTAATTTTGGACAAAATCACTATATATGCATTCTGAATAGCCCAAAACGAATTGATCACTTTTCCTACACATCTTAAGCATAACTTTAGAGCTTTTACACTATCATTTGCACATTCTTTCATATGTTTCAAAGATCACACATATTTGAGCTCATATCTTGAAAATTCATATACCTATAGTGGTTCAATTTGTATGTCAACAGTTTGAGAGTGTATATTTATTTCTAAACACCTTCCTTTGTATTATTGAATTGAGAGGGTAGTGAAACCCATTATATTTGAGAGGTACCCAAATACCTAAGTACCTTTGGAGTGAGGTTGCAAGGTATCCAAGAACCTGAAGTCTTGAAAGATTGTAGCAATTTGTCAAGCACCCTTAAAGCTTGACTATTAGTGAGATTTGATCGAGCGGTTTCAGTCTGTTGAATGTTTGTTATACCCAATTGTTTACTTAATTTAAAATATGTTTTAATGATTACAAAAAATTTAATGTTAATTTAATTGATAATAATTTATTGTCTTAAAATTACTAATGAACTAATTGTTTGAGATTTCAGAATAATATTTATTCTGATATGAAATAGTATTCAAGATAATTGAAGATTGTATGAAGATTGAAGAAGGTACGAAAGATATCATGAAGAAAGAAAAATATGGAATCAAGTAAAGTTTAGGATATATTTTATCTTTTTAGATTTCATGCAAGAGAAATAAAATATTCTTTGCCAAAGATTTAGATTAGAATTACATTGTATAATAGAATAAGATATTTAAGCTTTACATATTTTTTATTTGAAAAAATCAGAAATCTTATTTTTGAAAATTGCATTTAAGATTTCTGGTTAGTTTTTGGTAAAAGATTTCTGATTATTTTTTAGAAAAGATTTCAAATTTTCAAATTATATCTTTTGGGCTTTTAGGAGAGAGAATGTGTTATTATTGTAAATAGGACTCATTGCATATTATTTATAAGAGGAGAAAACACAAGAGAGAGAATTAGATTTTCAAGATTAGGATTCTTTCTTGTGCATCAATTGAAGAGTTTTCTCAATAACAATCATTCATACATTCATCTTTTGACAAAGTGAATATTTTTCCATAGGAATTCAGATTACCTATCTGCTTGAAGAAAAGAAGCATTGAGGTAAATCATTTTAATTGTAAAATTCTTCTTGACTTTTTAAATGTCTGTACTGGAAAACTTGGGTACCTGTTCTTGTGCTTAGAAACTTGGACACCAGCATATCTCTTTTCTTTTTTGGAAATTGAGAGTGACTTGAGAACCCTTGTGCGATATATGGTTTACCAAAAAAAAAAATCCTAAAGAGTTAGGATTTCGTACTGGGAAACTAGGATACCAGGTGAGAATTCGTGTAAGGGGTAGACTAGAAAACTAGGATACAAGAGAACTCCTTGTACGCAAGTTTCATAGTGGAGTTGCCGGTCGAATTTCAGTATTCGATATTTCGGCCTGTGGTTTTTCTCCCTTTTGAGTTTTTCACGTAAAAACTATTGTGTCAGTATCTCTCTATCCTTATCTTGATTTATTGCTTTGAGTTAATTTTTAATTAGCAAATTATTTTTATAAAC